GCTTAAGACACAAGACCCAACACTCTGGATGAGCTTAAGACACAAGACCCAACACTCTGGATGAGCTTAAGGCTGCTATCGAAGCATCCTGGGCCTCCATAACACCTCAGCAGTGCCACGGGCTGATTGCCTCCATGCCACGCCACAATGAAGCAGACATTTCTGCAAAATGATTCCCCAACAAGTATTGAGTGCAGAACTGAACATAATTATTTGAAGGTTGACTTTTTTTTTGTATTAAAACACTTTTCTTTTATTGGTYGGATGAAATATGCAAATTTTTTGAGATAGGGATTTTTGGTTTTTCTTCACTTTTTTGCCAAAATCATCAATATTAAAACAATAAAAGGCTTGAACTACTTCAGTTGGTGTGCAGTGAATCTAAAATGTAAGAAAGTTTAATGTTTATCAGTACATTACAGAAAATAATGCACTTTATCACAATGTGCTAATTTTTTGAGAAGGACCTGTACTTTGTCATTGTGAAGTTTTGGGATTCCTCTTTTTAAAAATATAGATCTGAAATTACCGATGACATCACTCCAAATTAATAAAAATAAAATTAAAAGCAGATTTGTAAACAGAACTATAGTGTGTCAATAGAAATGGGATCTACGGCTCTTGAAGGGAACAAGATCTTGTGGATGATCTCATCTGTGCCTTTTTTTAAAGCCAATCTACAGTATTTTGAACAGTTACAGGTCAGGTAGTTAAACTAGGCTACATATTAATTTGAAAATTGACTCATTTTGCCAACAAGGTCACATGTATAAAGTGTACAAAATAAAACTGTAAATGTACAAATATTATCCTACTAAAACAGATATGATCATTTTAAAAAAGGACAAAGATCAAAGCAACTGATAAACCAGATACGTTCACTTTTAATATTTTCCCAAGATAAGTTTTTAGTATTTTTCACTTTTTTAACAGAATAAGTACAAGTTTAAGGAATAAGGGTTTAGTTTGACTGGTTGTTGGATGTAAAAATCTATAATAGACTAAAAGTGTTTGTGAAGCGGGTGATGCTGCCCCCTAGCGGCCGGTCTCCTGCACTCCTCCTCCGGGATACAGCTGCTCGCTCCCCCGCCTCACCTGGAGCCACTCCGCGGGCTCAGAACGCCTCTCTCCCGGCTCACTTCCACTCCTCCAGGTCCGTCGGAGAGTCGAGCTCTGACTCAAATTTCTAAGCTTTTGTTTGTTTTTATTATTTTTATTTTAATTTTTTTTAAAACCGTGAACAAACTCACCTGAGATCAGCTGCACGCGCCGCTTCCTTCAACATGGCTTCCTCCGCCGCAGGTGACCGCGAGGAGCAGGTAAGACGACTTTATAAAGTTTATAAATGTATCGGAAGCGACGATACTCCGATTTATTCACAGCGTTACACAAGCTATTTGTGTTTTTGTCGATTTAAACCTTTATTTCCTGTAAAAAACATCCGGTTCGTGTAATAATTCATAGTTTCTGTATCAGGTTGACTGCAGCTGTTATCACTCACTGTGAGAGTGATCAAACTGTTAGAAGTGCTAAAAGTTGTCTGAGTTTAACCTGCTGAATAAASTCTTGACTGCTGTGGTCATTTTTGTGGTTTCAGCTGAAACTGATGCATTTGACTTGGGGTTTCTCCTAAATACTAGTTGTTTTTTTTTATGATTTTCAAAGGAAATATGATGAAAATGTGAAGCTGGAGGCTGACAGTTTGACCTGCATTTGACCTACATATGCTGAGCTTTATTGACTTTAACTAATTCCTCCTTTTTTTCCTTTTAAATGCTTTGAATAAAAGCCTAAATCTGCCCTATAGCGTTGAAATTCAATATAAGAAACTGGGCAAAAAAATGTATGTATGTGTGTGTGTATACTGTGTGTGTGTGTGTGTGTGTGTGTGTGTGTGTGTGTGTGT